AGGGCTCCCATATAGCTGTTGGTACAGCACCAGGACCTGTCGAGATTTGGGATATTCACAAGAGTAAAAGAATTAGACAAATGAAAGGACACAGTCAACGAGTAGGTGGGTAGATAATGAAGTTGAATAGTGTTTATGTTTAATGAGATCAATATAAATTGGTTTGACAATTTCAATATGCATAGGTGCTTTGGCTTGGAACTCGTACACTGTCAGTTCGGGTAGCCGCGACAGATTAATTTATCATAGGGATGTAAGAGATCACAACGACTATACGATGAAGTTAATAGGACACAAGCAAGAAGTAAGTATAGTATTTATTTAATTTAAACAATAAATAAAATTAATTTCATTGATTGATATTAAGGTTTGTGGTCTTAAATGGAATCCTGAAGGAACACAACTTGCCAGTGGGGGCAATGATAATAAACTTTTGATCTGGGATAGAGCGAGCGACATCCCTGTTCATAAATTTCCTTACCACACAGCTGCAGTTAAGGCTATTACGTGGAGCCCACACTCACACGGTCTTTTGGCAAGTGGCGGTGGTTCACATGACAAAAAAATTCGTTTTTGGAGCACCACGACAGGTGAAGTTTTAGGATGTTATGACACGGAATCCCAAGTATGTTTCCATTTTATTGCACACATTATTATGTTCATTTAAATAAAATATTAATTAATTTTATTGCGTTATCAGGTTTGCAATCTTGCCTGGTCCAGACACTCAAATGAGCTTGTGTCGACCCATGGATATTCTCAAAATCAAATAATTCTTTGGCAGTATCCTAATATGGAACAGTTGGCCGTACTAAAAGGTCATACTTTACGTGTTCTCTATCTATCCGTGTCTCCAGACGGAGAAAACATTGTTACTGGTGCTGGGGATGAGACATTACGCTTTTGGAATGTGTTCAATAATGGAAAGAAAGAGAAAAAACGTATGACGGTGTTCGATATTCGCACCCAAATACGTTAGATTCATCTTGCTTAATTGGCGATGCGTCCTTTACACAACCATACGCTATTCTCGCCAAATTATCACTTCCTACTTTGTAGACTGACAAAGCGTAGATTTTGTTGACGCATGCAGAGTATTTTTGTTTCAATCCAATGATCACACTCCAGCCTTTTTGGCGTGAAAAAAAACAATAGTAATGTAATTTTTTTTTCTATACCCAATAAAACGAATTTTTTTATTCTATTTTTTGTATTTGATTGTTCCTATCAACTTTTTGCTTTTGAATATATATATATTTTCTTTTCACTGGTAGAACAATCAGAATAGGAATTTCGCCATGCAGCATTTGATAGAAATATATAGAATTTGAAATGTTTTCATCTATACAAAAATCGATATAATTTGAAGATGTTAATGTCCAAGAAAATAAAATGTCTTCATTGGCCAATTATTAATATGTTGCGAATAATATCCTTTGTACGATGAATGGTAAAAATTTAGGATCGTATCCTGTACGACAATGTTTAAATTATATACATTGATCAACTACCGTTAATCATCGAAGGTTTAAAATCATTATTACTTTGCATGAAAAGATACCTTACAAGCATCTAATGTAATACTGTACAATAATAACTAGGAACAATATGTGATAAAAGAAAAGTCCCAGGTGATGATACGTAAACGTGCTAGGATCACTTACGTGATAGCTCTATTTTACATTGTCTTTAAGGTATAACTGCATCGTTGCAGTAATTCGTCCCGAAAATTTTATTCCTCATCGGAATCTGACGGATCATTATTTAATTGTGTTAGACCTAAGCTTTCTTCTTCATAAGAAAACAACGTTGCATCTCTGCTGCTCATTAGAGAATCGTGCCTTTCTGGAATTGATGACAATATTATCGTATTTCCATTTTGCACCGATTTATCTAATATTCCCTCATTGCGCCTCGCTGTATTAAGCAGGAATACTCCTGCAAAAATGGTTAAGAATCCACAAAATAAACTAACGACATTTACTACTTGGGTTGTGTTGAACCCTTGGAACAGGAGAACAGATGAAAATATGGTTGAAGATGTAAAAAATAC